CTTCCAAACTTTTCTGTTTTCAGTTTGAAAAAAAAAAAAAAAAAGAAAGGCAAAATTTCCTTTGGTTCAACACCAAACATCCCTCTAGATTTGAAACCAGTGTTTTATTATCAGTTGCTTGTAAAAAAAAAGGGAAAAAAAGAAAAAAAATAAACTGCTGCTATCAACTTCCCCTTTGGTCAAATAGTGTGGGGCACTCAACCAGAACGTGGGAAAGCCAGGTGCAGCTTCTTCCTGTACCCATGAGGATTTGAATCTATGTGGTGCTTAGTGAATGCTTTAATTACTCGAGGTGGAGAAGAGGCTCTGTGTCTTTCCTGTTGTAATTGATCCACTTCAGATAAAATACTAAGGGCCTTGGCACATGTTCAGGTTGTGCCGTTCCAAATTTGTGGAATTTTGTGCTGCAGCAAAGTTGGGATGCAACAGGAGCAAGTCTGCGCATGCCATACTCATGATCCATCACTAGAGGGACACTGAGCAGATATTCCAGCTTGCCTTGTGGTCTTGAGTCCCGAGAACAACACCCAAGGAAGTGCAAATTGCTGCCACTGGCTCATGGGGAAGCTGAGGTTTTGGGGGACTGGCAGAAGACAAAGAGCAGGGATATCCTTCTAGTTGGATGCTTAGGAAACTCTGCTAAGAGGTGGGTTTAACTGGCTTCCAGTTCTTCCTTGGTGAATGTAATTATTTACACAAAGTAGAACAATCTCCATAGGAAAGACCGAGAGTATGCCCAGTCTCCCTGTACTTCCGAACATTCCTCATGGCACATTATTGTCTGGTGGTTGGGATGATTTTCTGAAAAGTATGGGTGGAAATCTCCTCAAGCTGAAGGATTGACCCTGGACAAGTGCACTAACCCTTGAGATACTGAGACACCATATTCTTGACCTTGAATGACTCAAGTGTAGTTAGGGAAGAATTATCCCTTGCACTGCAAGTAGGCTGAACCCTGCGAGAGTCTACAAATGTCCCCAAATGTGAGGATCTCAGCTACACAATTTATGGTGATGGGGGATTGCTCTCAGGCTTTCCCTTTAGCTTGTTGCTTCCATCTTTTAACTAGGGGCAAGCAGCAAGACTAGGGGCATTTGTAGATGACACTTTAAAGCAGGTTAAATGCCTTTTGCGCCACTTTAATGGCATTGCTATTTGTACATTCGGTGGTGTAATGCACGTTACTTCCAGCCACTGTTGCACATTCAGCAGCGTAATGTGCCTTAAATGACTTTGGGATACAGAAAATGACTTTGGGGTACTGCAAAGTAAAACACTTCTGAGGAGTGTTAGTTTCCTACCCTACAGCCACGGAGGGAAGCACTGGGCTTTGTACGGCTAAGGGCTGTGCAGGCAGACCGTGCAGGCAGCCTAGCAGCAGCCTGGGAAGGTAGGCTCCACAGAAGGGAAAAAAAAAAGGCTGCAAGCCTGATCTTTCCTCCCAGCCCTGAGCCTGCCTGCCTGCCTGCCTGAGCTGTGCAGGGGCCTGGTGCTTCCCTTCATGGCTGTGGTGTCCCCTGGGACTGCTTGAGCCGGGTACCACCTGGGGGTGGGTGCCACCTTGTGGGGGGCTGCCACTGCCATGGAAAGAAACACCAGCTTCCCCCCCTGCAGCTCAGGGACCACTAGCAGCTCGCTCTCCCCTCCCTGCCACTGGAGAGGTTTTTTTTAAAAACACCACTTCAATTTAGGGAGAATTAAACTCCCATGTCATGTACAAACCCCCTAAGGGGCATCTGAACTCCAAGGTCTCTGGGCTTGGGGCTTGCATGTAGGATGCCAGCCATGGATTTGGGAGCATCTGAGCCCCAAGATGGTGAGTCTGGGAGGTAGGATACTTGCTGGTGGTAGTGCCAAACAGAATTGAATGATTGAACTCTGCTCAGTCAAAATTTGGAACTTAATTCGGAACTGATTTTTGGAAATGAAATATCATTAAAAAAAATAAATAACCCTTGAGATACTGGTTAAACAGAGGCTGCCACTTCTTTGAGGGATCTAAACTAGAGGGGGAGAAAAATTAATCATGTCAGAGTTCAACAATTCAGTAAATTTGACAGGAGTTATGGAATCATTGTGGGGTGTCTGGAATTGCATATTTTGGAAAATGTGTTTGATAGAAAAAATTGCTTGCTATCTGTATACATAAAGGGTATTATTATGGAGAAAGTGTTGTGTTTTAGCGA